GACGGGGAGAAAAATCTTTGCACACCCAAGCAGAGCAGCCCCCAGCCAATAAAATGCTTTCCCGTTCACATTCCGCTTGTTTCATTCAGTGCGTGATACTAATGGCCGATCCCGAAAATCAACGCACTAGCGAGCAAAACACTGAACCGAAACCCGAAGGCCTTGTGTGACAGGTCTTTGGAAGCCCCCACACGGGTGCTCTGATCACGCTCGAGCGTTGGATCTGTGCTCTACTGCCTTGTGGGTTAGACTTTTAAGTGGAAGGCTCCGGCTAGGGTTCACAAAGAAAAAGCCACTTCGTCGATGTGGACTGCCGCGAAGTTTTAAGTACCCGTTTGGAAAAACTGGTCAATTAAATGCGAATTATCACTCTCTTCTACTAGGTTTGTGGCAAATCAGCCCTTCGTTACTGTCGAGCCAACAATGAACTGACTGAATATCATTGAAGAGGACACCTGAACAAACATGCATTGTTGATTCGGTTCAGCAGTGGTATGAGCTGGTTGGTACGGTGGTGATTCGTCCGGTGTTCAAAACCCGAACGGTCGTGTGGTGGATATGCACTACTGATGATGAGCTTTAATAAGAGCGAAACTGGAGTCTGTGGTGCTTCTGAGTGCATGGTTGACCGGATGAACTGAGGGTTGTGCGTGAAGGTGAAGTCCGAAGGATAGTCCGCTCAAATCAATATTATTCTTATATGTGTGTGTACGCCTGAACTGCACTGTGACGGAAATCCGATGATGAACAGGTTGTTTGACCTTGATGTTTGTGTGTGTGTGTGTGTGCACGCGATATTCGGAATGATAATAGAATCCTCCTCCGCATACCAGGCACAGATAAAAAGATAACCATCTTATCGGAAACAGTCGTTCCATTTGAATGAAACAAGTAGCACAATATAAGTAGAATTGATATGGGCCATCATTTTTACGTGCTCTCAATCAGCTGTGTACGCGTAGGTTGAAGTGCTATATGAATACAATATATGGACACTTACCTAATAACATGGGTTCATGCGGAAAGAACTTGTTTAGTGATGAGTCATTATCAAATTCACTTGGAGATAAGTGAACAAGGAGAGGGGATAGTGTTTAGAAAGTTTCAGATTCACAGATACAGGTACCTAATAAATAACGATTAAATGCGGGGGGAGGGGGAATAGGTTGCGAAATACCAAATTGAGAAAAACCGCAACGAATTTAGAAAGGTAACAGAATGGAAAATTGGTCAAAAGAATTAAGTAATTAAGAAATTAATGAAATAAGAATGAGGTGTCAACGATGGAGTAGGGTAACGGCTGAGATGAGGAAATGGAAAGCGTAGGAGCTGTAACCAACAGTTACCAGTGCCAGCTGCATCACGAAGGCATTTTGCATTCATAAATTAGGCTTCAGACGGCTAATGAAAATCGCTTCAACAAACTTAATCATCATTGGGCTTGGAAGTTTGAAGATAACACGGAAAACTTTGAGTTCGTCGATGCAGTGTCTGGTATTCAGCAAATATCGTGCTACTTGTTTGAAGTCTTCCTCCTCAATTGACAGGTTTTTTGGAACATGCTCACTCATTCTGTTCAACAGCCGGCATTCAGTCATTCCGACGTACCGCAAACCGCAAGTATATTGAAATAAGCAGATGCCACTGGATGTGACTGAATTGTTGGATCTGCCTGTGTTTGACCGAGTTTGTGAGTTGGTTGTCTTGTGAATCATGACCAGCTGCGTGGCAGGATAAGTAGACTAAACTGTAGTAAGAAGCCAACGACCAAACCGTGCTATTACATCATCTCCTCTAAATAATACACTAATGAAATCGAGTTTCTTTTCTGCCATTGTGTACTTTGGCCCGGGGATGGTAGGTGTGCTGTGTTTCTTTACAACGGGCAAGGGATAGCCATTAGTGGATAAGACCTTTGTCAGTTCTCTAAGTTCATTTTTTTTAACAATTTCAGAATACACAGGCGAAGAACTCTGTCGAACAAGGTTCTTATCAGTCCAATCTTATAACGCAGAGCACAAAAGCTTTGGAAGTGTAAATACTGGCCCGTTCGTGTACACTTGACGTTTCTTATTCTGGTCAGTTATAGATCTAGAAATTGCAATGAGCCATTCCAAATTGGAATCAAAATTTTTGTACATCCCGTTCAATTTATCAGACAAAACTATGGTGTTTGTTTTGTTTGAGGTTATTACTAGTTTGTTGTCGACATCTCTCCAGCAGTTTTGGTCATTTGGGTTATTTTTTATATGAAAATAACCCTTTTAATTCACTCAAGTCGAGCTGATGAGAATTGTTTGCATTTGTGCCTACGGTTGACCGTTATCATTCTATCAAGCATGTATTTGCCTGATCCACTTCAGGTAATCTCACCTAGTAATCTACATTTATTCTTCATGACATCTGATTGGATGTCGGTGCTGTGCACTCTCTTTTCAGTTCATACGTATTCAAATTCGGTGTGGATAGTTTTGCCGAAAGTATTCTACCCGATGTACAGATCAGCAACTCAGTTTCATCTTGATGAATAATTTCCGCGTTTTTTTTTGTTTTTGCGGGTTTCAAAGCCTTAGCTCTATCGATTCTTCACCGGGTTAGATAGATGCTTATCGATTTAGTCGAT